AGGAACAGGGCTGCCTTCCTTTCTCAGAACTTGCAGTGTACGGCTTTGGACAAGGTGCAGTCGGGCGCTTTTCTATCAATCTCTAGGGGGAAGGATCTAGGTTTTCCTTTCCTGGCAGACTTCCACTTTCCACTGGTTCCAGCTTTCGCAGACTCTGCAATAGAAGGCTCCCTCTGTATAAAAGTCAGAAACAGGCAACACTTGGTGGTGGGAGCTGTGAAAGTGATACTAGTTCGAGCGGTGCAACTTGGGGAGCCTCACACAAGTCAGAGGTGCTAATAATATCGTACCTCATGATCTAGGTGGCCATTGCATAGGTATAGTTACTTTATGATAATTCATAAAGTTGCGCTTCCATGATTTACACACTCTTCTTTATGGATGCTACTTTAAGAATTTTATTGTTTTTAAAAAAATCTTTTTTTTTAGTTTCTTTACTAACACATGACACATTCAGATTAAGCTATAAATTTGTAATTAAGTGAAAATGTAGTCATGTTAGTTGGCAAGGTTAAAACTGCTTCTAGAATTATAATTATTCTTAATTATTATAAATATTGCCATGATCTATGATTGTAAGCTAACGAAGTACATATATTTCTGTCTTGAAACGGTTTAGACAGTTACTAATTTTTGAACAGGCAAATTATGAAGACTGGTTTATTTTGACCAGATATGTTAAGTGAAATATGACTTTAAATGTTTTTCAATTAACTCATCCATAGATTTTATAACAGAGATTCAACTGATAGCTAACATTATACCCTTATGTGAAGAAGTTAGGCATTTCAGATTTTTTTGAAGATAGTAAAGACTCTTGATACAATTTTAAAGTATCCAGGTTTTGGGGTGGGGAGGGTTGTTGGTTTGCTTGCTTGCTTTTTAAGGAGCTTTGGTGGCAGAGCAGTTATGCTTTGGGCTACTAACCACAAGGTCAGCAGTTCTAAACCACCAGCTGCTCTGCTGGACAAAGATGGGAATTTCTACTCCCTTAAGGAATTACATTCTGGGAATCTCAATGGGGCAGTTCTGCCTTATCCTATAGAGTTGTTATGGTCAGTATCAACTCACTGGCAATGAATATGGTTTTAGATCTAGTATTTGTTTTGTGAGGTGCATTGTATTCTTTGAAATTCCAGATAATGCCTACTTGGATTGTGTTGACACTTTAATAGTGCAGTTTCCTTACAACTACCTGACTTTGATTCTTATGCTACTAACACATTTTAAAAAATTTAAAAACACACACTGAGTAAAAAGGATCACAAAATTGTAATAAAAACAAAAGCTCAACTTGGTGCTTTCAGTTCAGACATTTATGTGAAATCGCTTATTTTCTTGTATTCACTTTGTTGGGAATGCAGATAGCAGAATTAATCTGTACCGTGTTGTTGCTAAGGAGCCCTAGTGTTGCACATGGCTAAGTGCTTAGCTGCTAACAGAAAGGTTGGCAGTTTGAACCCACCGAGTTCTATGGGAGACAGACCAAATGATCTACTCCCATAAGATGCCTAGGAGCCAACTTTGGGTGTCCGAGTCTATAACTGTTTACAGGAGTAGAAAGCCAAAGTCTTTCTCCTGCAGAGCTGTTGGTGGCTTCCAACTGCAGACTATGAGGGTCACAGCCCAACACCTAACCACTACACCACCAGGGTTCCTTAGGGAACTGTATACGGCATTTTTACTCTGTCTCCTGGAGTTGCTATGAATCAAAATTGACTGCAGTGGAACAGTCAGCCATTTTTGCCCCATTCACTGGAATTGCGACATCATAAGGCAGAACTGGCTGTGTGGGTTTCTGAGGGTGTAACTCTGTGGGAGTAGAAAGCCTCTTTCTCTGCGAAATAGCTGGTGGTTCCCAATGTGTAACCCACCATGCACCAGCGCCCCTGTATTTGTGCCTCCCCCAAAATCAAACTCACTGCCATCCAACGGATTCTGACCACAGCGACTCCTATAGAAGAGAGTTGAAGTGCCCTTATGAGTTTCTGAGACTGTGGGCTTCCTATAAATTCTTCTGTAATTACAAAAGGGCCTTAAAGAGTTCATGGAAAGATAGAATTGAAGGATAGTGGGGCATTTCCACAAACTTTTGAATCCCCCTTGTATAGTTAGATGTTTTAAAATTAGGCTATAATTTGAAACAATATCCATTTGATTAATTTTCTTACTTTTAATAAAAGTAAAATCTCAGGTGATGTGTTAGTCCGGGTAGACTAGAGAAACAAGTCCATAGAAACTTATGTGTGTATAAGAGAAAGTTTTGTATAAAGGGTAATTGTACATTAAGAAAGCATCCCAACCTAGTCCAGCCCAAGCCCATAAGTCCGATATTAGCCCATATGTCCGATACCAATCTAGAAAGCCCCCATCAGACTCACAAAACACATTCAATAACGCTGAATGCAGGACGATCACAGGCCAGTGGGTAGAAAGTCTTTGGATCCAGTGGCGTTGTAAGCATCTCAGCGCTGGCAGAGGTCTCCACATGGCTTCTCCAGCTTCCAGGGCTGCATCAGGGTAGGTCCATGTGGCTTCTCCTCAGGAATGACTCGCAGGGAGTCAGCAGAAAGAGAAAGTGCCTCCTGTCCCCAAAGAGGAAAATCCACATTTCCCAGATTTCTCAGAGGCCTCATTTACTATGATCTGATTGACAGACTAGACTCCACCCCTTCACTCTTAATCCTCAAATTGACAATTATATAACCACCACAGGTAGGTATTGTTATTTTTCAGCAATTCTCCTGTTTTTCTTTCGTTCTGCTTTAAGCTGGTTCTATCTCCCTCTATGTGCGTTTGAAGGATTCCTGGTAGTATAGTAGGTTACAAATTGGGCTCCCTCAACCTTAAGATTAGCAGTTCGAACTCACCATCCACTCCTAGACAGATGAGGTTTTCTGCCCCCCACAAAGTTTGATAGCCTCGGAAACCTAAAGGCGCAGATCTACTCCGTTTTCAAGGTCGCTATGAGTCTGAATTGACTCAGTGGCAAGTAGTTTGCATTTTTAGTGCAGGTTTGTGTATCTGCTGCATGTGCTACTATTTTAAAATAGCACTAGTAAATTTGAGAGGTAATTTTTTTTCCTTTGCCTTGCCAATTTACAATTTGGAAAATAAGTTAATGAAATTATTTAACCTTCTAATCATGCCTCCCTGATAACAGACATTGAATCATAAATGAAAAAAGGGCTTCAATAGAACTGTCCTTGTGAGTTTGGGACTGGCAATGTTAGTGTATTCAATGGAAGCCTGGTAACTCAGTTGTTCAGGTCGTGACAAATCCAACCACCTACTTTTATATAGTACTATGAATTTCGTCTGGCCACAGATGGTGTTTCCTTTACCTGGCTCTGTAACCCATTGCCTACCTTCCGCGGCTTGGGTGTTGCTCTGTTCCAGCTACCATCACGACCATCTTGCTGTCTCAGATCCATCTTCAGCCTGTCTGTCCTCCTTTGATGCCCTCCCTCACTATATTCAAGTCTTGAATCAAATATCATCTCACAAATGCATTCTTGGACTCTTCTTTCTGTGATGATCTCCATCCTGTCCCTGTCCTCCTTTTAGTTTTACAACAATCGTCACTGCCCAATACTATTATATGAGGGGGCTTCAAAAAGTTTATGGAAAATGGAATGAAAAGATGTCACTTTTCCATGAACTTTTGGAAGCCTCCTTGTATTTATGATTTTTTATATTTCTCATCAAATTTAATTGGCTTTGTTTGCAGCTGTATTCCCAGCACGTGTAATTATGAGGAACCACATCACAAACACTATCAATATTGTTAGTAAAACATGAATGAGAGAAGATGAAAGAAGCATAATGAGTAGTTAAATTTCAGTCTACATGACGTGGCTCTTCCCTCAATTGTGGGATGCAAAAGGGTTTTTCCCCAGGTTGTCTCCCCCAAATATATGCCAAACCTAAGACACTGCTTGCTACATATCCTAAATGACTGTACACTTGGAGGTCGAATCATGCTGATCAGAGGTTAATCTCCCTGAGCGTGGTTATCAGCCGTCTAGAGCAATCAGACTGTATAATATGTCCTACCCTGAGTAGGGCCCACTTCCTTCTGATAAGGGTAGTGGATTGTTTCCTTGCAGAAGAGCCTAGAGACAAGGCCACTCAAGGATGACCAAGGTTAGGCTGCCATCTTGAGTCTAGGGTCTGCCTTGTCACATGTGTACCCCTAATTCCTCCCCTTCCTTTTGTATGTGCACCCCTAGCTCATCTCTTTCCTGTGATGTGTATGCCATTGTATAGCCTCTTCCTGTGATGTATGGGGTTACCTGGAATCAGGGGGCTTGCACGTCCCTAAGTATATATAGGCCTTGGTCAGAAATAAAGGACATATGCTCTCTCCCCTCTCCTCCTCCCGCTCTTTTCTCAGACCTGGCTACTGAGATCATGACCATCCCGGAGGTGAGCATGCTACCATGAAATGTCAGACATAAATGTCTGACTCCTTTATTTTACTTTCTCTCCTATCTTCTATCCTCTATGACTTTACTATGATCTTTATATGTCTTAACCGTACAATAGAGGCTGGTCTACACTGACACTCAGTCAACTGTGTAGCATTTATTTGTTTATTCTCTAATCATAGTTAGAGTAGCTGTTAACTATAACATAACTCTATAGGGCTTGGTGGTAAATTTAAATAAACTGTAATACAACAGTCTGCTAAACTTGTTATTACCCTTTAAAGGAAGAGGAAATGGAAAAGAAAGGAAGAAAGAAAGAAAGAAAGAAAGAAAGAAAGAAAGAAAGAAAGAAAGAAAGAAAGACAGTGTACATAGTACCTATTTTACTTTTGTGAAATAAATAATGGCTAAAACAACATTCATTTCAAATGCATTGTCTTTGATAAAGATATGGACCTACCAACTCAAAATATCACTTAAAGTTGTAGATTTCTATCAATTTTGTTTGTTTGTTTTTCTGTTTATAACTGTTTGCTACCATCACTTTTTTCTCTTTCCTTTTTTTTTAAGAATCCAACCCAAGTCGGAACAGCGCTTCAGGTTTTCTATAATCTTGGAACTTTGAAGGATACTATTGCCAGTGTCGTGGAAGGATATTGTGCTACCATAGAAGAAAATATTAACAGTACATTAGACATCAAAGTTTTGACTCAGCCTTCTCAGTCAGCTGCTAGAGGTATGGATATGGTTTATATTTAGCTTCTTTATTTATTTATAACTGAGAAGTCCTTTGAATAATATGTAGCACTCAAATTTCAAAGCAATCTAATGACTCATTTTTTAGCAGACAGAAAATGAGGAAAGAAATTATGTTCCAGAATTTATTTATAACTTTTCTCCTCTCATCAGTCAGTTGAACTGGCCAATTGGTATATTCATAACTGCAAGTTAAGAATCCAGAAACTGTGGCATCATTTAGTCGAGAGGAAACATATGTAAAACAAGCAAAGGAACATTGTTTTCTTCCTAAAACTTGTCCTCATGCCTCACATGCATTTCTTAGTGAGAGAGAATTTTTTAATCTTCGGGCATTACAATTTCTACCTGAGCCTTCTACACTTTTCCTTTTGGTATCCTGTTAGTCAGGAGCAGTATTGGCTATGTATAGAGAAAAACGGACCAAAAGATGGGAGCATTCTCACTAAGCTACCTTTGTTACCAGTTGCTGTCATGGTGGCGCCTGACTTGTGGTGACTGCATGGACAGTGGAATCTGCTTTTTCTGACCCAAAAGGTTCTTGCTGGCTGAGATTTTTTTTTAAATTGATCATTTTATTAGGAGCTCATACAACTCATCACAATCCGTGCATACATCATTTGTGTCTAGCACATTAGTACATATGTTGACTTCATCATTCTCACAGCACCCACTTTCCACTTGAGCCCTTGGTGTCAGCTCATTTTTCCCCTTCCCTCCCTGATCCCCCTTCCCCCTGAACCCTTGATAATTTATAAATTATTATTATTTTATCATATCTTACCCCATACAACTTCTCCATTGTCCGTCACCCAGGGAGGAGGCCATATGCAGACCTTGTCATCTGTTCCCCCTTTCTCCCTCATCTTCCCTCCACCCTCCCGCTATCGCCACTCTCTCCACTTGTCCTGGGGGTTCATCTGTCCTGGGTTTACTGTATTTCCAGTTCCTATCTGTGCCAGTGTACATCCTCCGGTCCAGCCGGATATGTAAGGGATAATTGGGATCATGATAGTAGGGGGAGGAAGCATTTAAGAACTACAGGAAAATTGCATATTTCATTGTTACTACACTGTACTCTGATTGGCTCATCTCCTCCCCGCAGCTCTTCTGCAAGGGGATGTCCAATTTCCCCTGGATGGGCCCTGAGTCCTCACTCTGCACTCCCCCTCATTCACAATGTTATGACTTTATTTTTTTATTTTTTGGTCTTTGATGCTTGATACCTGACCCCTTCGCCGCCTTGTCATCTTACAGGCTGGTGTGCTTCTTCCATGTGGGCTTTGTTGTTTCTCAGTTAGATGGCCCCTTGTTTATCTTCCAGCATGTGAGACCCCAGATTCTGTGTAATTTGACAGCTTGGCACCATCAGCTTTCTTCACTGCATTTGCTTATGTACCTGCTTTGTCTTCAGCATTAGTGTTGGGGTAAGCTGGTGTGCTTCTTCCTTGTGGGTTTTGTTGTTTCTTAGCTAGATGGCCACCTGCTTGTCTTCAAGCCTTTAAGACCCCAGATGCTGTATCATTTGATAGCTGGGCACCATCTGCTTTCTTCACCACTTTTGCTAATGCACCCCCTTTGTCCTCTGCAATCGAGTAGGGGCAGGCTGGTGTGCTTCTTCCGTGTGGGTTTTGTTGTCTCTCAGCTAGATGGCTGATTGTTTATCTTCAATTTTTTAAGGCTTCAGGTGCTATATCTTTTGGTACCTGGGCACCATCAGCTTTCTTCACCACACTTGCTTGTGCACCCATTGTCTTCAATGCTGGCTGAGATTTTTAAATGCAGATCTATCTCCAGGCCATCTCTTGGTCGGTCATGGGAAGGTCGGTTGCAACCAGTAACCAACACTCCTTTAACTGACCATAGCGTACGTTTAGATGGACTGGAAAACCGAAAGCATTCGTGCGACTTGCTCTATTGCCCTATTCGCTTATTGCAGTGCTCTGCATCAAAGCCCGCGATATCACAGAGGGATTCCTGTACACTAAAAACGTAACATAGTATTAAGGTAGTAATTATGTTTTGATGTGCATTGTAAAGTAGTACCCGCCTGTTAGAACTTGAATATTGAATTGTAGACTTTACGGCTGTTGTAACCACAGACTATATATAATTTGGTTGTTTACACAGCAAAGTAAATATAATATAAGATGCTTTCCCATGGACAGGAAACACCACCAATTGTGTACAGCTTTCACTTACAAGCCCTGGTAGTGTAGTGGATCTGCATTGGTCTGTGATTTCCCTGAGGTTAGTAGTTCAAAATCATTAGCTGCTCTGCGGGAGAAAGACGTCCACACCTGTTAACAGTTACAATCCTGAAAACTCAAAAGGGCAATTCTACCCTGCCTTTTGGGTCGCTGTGAGTGAGCATGGACTTGACGGCAGTGAGTTTGGTTATTGGTTTTCATTTACTGTAACGACTCCATCTCCACTCTCTCCTCGACATCTTCCTTAGCACTGTTAAACATGTGCATATTGTACTTGCTTTTTGCAAAATAAAAAAAATCCTTTGTCCTAGATCCAACACACATTGTTTCATAGGTCCCCCCCCTTTGTCACACTTTCAGTTTTTTTCTTCTTCCTTCTTTCTTTTCTATCATGTACAATCTTGCTATTGTTGTTTTCTGCTTAAAAATCAAGCAAGTATATATCTAGGCTCCATTTCTTTCTTCAGTTTTACCATTCCATATTATTCCTTCAGTCTACAGAAAAATTCCTCAAAGGATTCTGTATCCTTTTTGTCTCCGGTCCTTTTATTTCTGTTTTTCTATTAAATAGAGAAACCCTAGAGAAACTCTAAACTTAAAGAATAAAATATTGATAGCCATTGGTTGTTTTAATCTTTATATCTGAGACATAAGCAAGATTCTAAAGGCCACTCAGTATACGTAGCTCATAAGTAAGCTGCACTTGATAAAAATAGATAAAAGAATCTTGGATCTTAAAGGGATTTTAAAAGATTAACCTTACCCTCTGAATTGGACAGTATTTAAACAATTCTAGAAGGAGGGCTTTTAAAAGAAATTGCCAAAGGAGATTTCACTCTCAGCCTTTCCCAGCAATTATTCTCAGGAAGTTTGATCTGATGTTTAAATTTCCAGTAGCAGTTTTATCCCCTTCCCTCTTGTGTTGTCAAGAATGGAGGTGGGGGGAGAGGGGAGGGGAGGAAAGCAATTATTCACATGCTGTCAGTCCTAATGTATGCCTCTTCTGTTGAAAGAAAAGAGTTTTAAAGCCTTCTTATTATCATCTGCAAAAGATTTGATAGAATGATTTAATGTAGGAACCTTAAGCATCGGGTGTTTTTAATTATCCTAACGAGTCACAACTAAGTTTTCTTAATTACATAGAATACGTGAATGTTCATTTCTTTATTTCAGTGGCTACATGGAGATTATGCCAGAGAATGTTCTTGTTTGTTTGAAATGCACATTAACATATTTAGGAGCGATGGAGCATTATGTCAGTAACTTGTTTTGAGTGGTTTAGGAGAAATTTTTTTTATACTTTTAAGTTTCTGATCATTTCAGGATTTAATAGGTATAGCTTTAAGGGTAAAGTTGTATAAAAAAGGCCAATAATTCAATTAGAGAAAGTCAATAATTTCAAAAAATGGATAATGGATTTGAGTAGCCAATTTACAGCATACATTGAATAAACATGTAAAACTTCACTGTTTAGTGAGTGAACTATTTATTAATGAAACCTAAATTAAATAAGATACTATGAATTATCAGATTCGGAAAATCTAAGATGGAAGTAAATATTAGGTAAGAGCAAACATAATCTGTCCTGTTAGTAAAGGAAAAAATTGGTTTAACCACTTTACAAAGTATTATGAAAATTATTTCTACAGTTTAAAATGTCTTGAAGTTTCTCTTATAAGGAAATCTGGGATGTGTATATATATACATATATTTACATTTATATGTCTTTAGTGCATGATTGTATGGAATGAGAAGCCTTGATGAAGTAGTGTGTTACCTGTTGGCTGCTAACCACAAGGTCAGAGGTTCTAAGCCACCAGCTACTTCATGGGAGAAAGATGAGAATTCCACTCCTGTAAAGAGTGTTACAGTCTCAGAAACACATGGACACTTCTACCCTGTCCTACAGGGTCAGTCTAATTCGGAATCAAGTTGATAGTGGTGAGATTACATATAATAGTGAAAAACTGAGAACATTCTCTTAATAAGATGAACTATTATTAAGTAGACTATAGTAGTTGGAAAATATGGACTGAGTGATAGAAATGAAGCTGGAGATCACATGATAGCATTTTACAAACCCAGAGACTTGTTCATAGCAAATACCTTTTTTCAGCAACACAAAAGGTGACTATCCACATGCACTTGGCCAGATGGAATACACAGAAACCACACTGATGACATCTGTGGGCGGAGACACTGGAGAAGCTCAGTATTAGCACTCAAACCCCGCCAGGAGCTCCCTGTGGAACAGCCCATCACTTCCGCATAGGAAGCTGACAAAAATGAAAACAAGTGAAGCCAAAGCACCTTGACTCTATCCCACCTGAATTTCGAAAACATCTGGAGAATAGATTTGCTGCATTGAACACTAATGACAGAAGACATGATGAGCTGTGGGAGAACATGAAGATCATCACTCATAAAGAAAGCAAAAGGTCATTTAAAAGGCAAGAAAGAAAGAAAACATGAAAGTGGATGTCAGAAGAGACTCAAACTTGTTCTTAGAGTTGCTAAAGCAAATGAAATAAATGATGAGTCAAAGGGCTGAATACAAAATTTCGAAGGACAACTCAGGAAGACAAAGACAAATCCTATAATGACATATATAAAGACCTCGAGTTAGAAAACCAAAGTGAAGGAACACGCTCAGCATATCTTAAACTGAAAGAACTCAAGGAACACTCCAGCCTTGAGTTGCGATAATCAGTGATTCTGTGAGCAAACTAGAAGTGTCAAAAGAACAGGGAAAGAATATAGAGTCATTGTACCAAAAAGAAATACCTCCATTTCTGGAGGTAGTATATGAGCAAGAACCAATGGTACAAGAGGAAGAAGTTCAATCTACATGGAAAGTATTAGCCAAAAACAAGGCTCTAGGAATCTGTAGAATACCAAAGGAAGTGTTTCAGAAAGCTGATGAAGCCCCCGAAAGCACTTACTAGTCTATGCTAAGAAATTTGGAACACAGCTCCTGGCCAACTGACAGGAAGAGATCCACATTTGTACCCATTGCCAAAGAAAGGTGACCCAACAGAATTTTCAAGCTACAGAAAAATGTCATTGATATCAATGATATCAGCAAAAGTAAACTTTTGCTGAGTGTCATCGAATAATGGCTGTAACAGTACATCAACAGGGCACTGCCAGAAGTTCAGGCCAGATTCAGAAGCAGACATAGAACAAGGGATATCATTGCTGATGTCAGATGGATCTTGGCTCAAATCAGAGAATACCAGAAAGGTGTTTACTTGTGTTTCATTGATTATGCCAAAGCATTCGACTATGTGGATCACAACACACTACAGATAATCTTGAGAAGAATGGGAATTTCAGAGCACATCATTGCATTCATGCACAACTGATACATGTATCAAGAGGCAGCTGTGCGAACAGATCAAGGAAATATTTCATGGTTTAAAACAGGAAAGGTTTGCAACAGGCTTGTATCCTCTGACCATACTTATTCAATCTGTATGCTGAGCAGATCATCAGAGAAGCTGGATTATATAAACAAGAATGTGGCATCAGGATTGGAGGAAGGCTTATTACCAACCTGCAATATGCAGAGGACACAACCTTATTTGCTGAAAGTGAGGAGGACTTGAAGCACGTGCTTCAATCAAGGATTGTTGCCTTTAGTATGGATTACAGCTCAATGTAAAGAAGACAAAAATCCTCACAAATGGACCAGTGAGTTATATCATAATGAATGGAGAAAAGTCTGAAGTTTTTAAGGATTTTTGTCTTGCTTGGATACACAATCAATGTTTATGGAAGCAGCATTCAAGAGATAAAAAGATGTGTTGCATTAGATAAATCTGCTCCACAAGACCTCTTTAGACTATTGAATTTTGAGGACTAAGGTAAGCCTGGCCCTGCCATGGTATTTTCAATTACCTCAAATGCATGTGAAAATTGGACATTTAATTAAGAACACCAAAGATGAAATTATGTATTTGAATGTTGGTGCTGGAGAAGAATATTGAAAGTGTCTTGGATTGCTTAGAGGACAAACCTATCTGTCTTGGAAGAAGTCAAGCCAGAGTGCTCCCTAGAAGCAAGGAGGGTGAGTTCATCATACATACTTTGGACATGTCAGGACAGACCGTTCCCTGGAAAAGGACATCCTGTTTGGTAAAGTGGAGGGGTAGTGAGAAAGCAGAAGTCCTTTGAAAGATGAATTAACCCATTTCTTATTGTTTTTCATAGTCTAATTTTCTTGTGCAGAAGCATTTATCTGGAAATAACTCTTCCCATGTTAAGAATAGAATAACCCTCTTTGTTCTCTGCCACAACAGGGGAAGTCAACCAGAGTGGATTTTCCTTCATCTCCTTGCCTCCTTCTTGTCTGTTGGAGTATTTTTAGTGATCACTCCGTTTTCTTATTTTTATGTTTAAATGATTTGATTCTCAACTTTCCTCCTTGTACTATTACTCTTTCAATTTTTGCTTACCTCTTCTTGGGATGGATTTTATAAAACAATTGATGCTTCAGAAATGGCTTTTGGGTACTGTGTTCTCTGAGTTATCGCATAGTTGACTGTTTTTTGCCTTCACATTTGAAGAATGTCTGAGTATAAGTTCTGACTTATGATTTCTTTCCCTTAGAATTTGGTGGTTTTGGGGATGTCCCTCTTCTACTGGATTTGAGTACAGTTGAAATATTGCTGGAGAATAAGAGATAATAATTATAATTTTAGTTTTATTACCCATTCAAGCTGGACTTGAGGACATAACTTACATCTGCAACCAAGTGATTTTCATAGTACATCACATTCAGCCTGTCTGACTGTGCTTAACAGGTGGTAGAGATCATGATCAAGTACACGATCAAGTATCTTTTATGCAGATAAGGCTCCACCAAGGGAGAAAAGAAGGGATTGAGTCATTTATGCTCAGATTTCTATTTGAATTCATTAACCAGATAAATATTCCTGTTCACATAGAGATGAGTGAGTGAGCAATGTTGCTTTAGCTGAAGTTCTTTCTTATGAAAGACTCTGGTTGAGATGGATTGACATAGCGGCTGCAACAACGGGCTCAAACAAAAGAACAATTAAGAACGGTGCAGGGCCAGCCTGTGTTTTGTTCTGTAATACATAGGTTCCCTATGAGTTGTAACAGAGTCATCCGGTAACACCTATCAAGTATCTTCTCCATAATCACTTGCATGTCTTTGTACTTTATTTTACATTGCCTGATTTCCTCTTGCCTGTTTCCCATGCGTGACTGTCTTTACTCTTGTTTATGTTTTTATTGTTGTTTCTGATCCCTGTCATGTTCTTACTAGTGATGATGCTTCCTGTAATTACTTTGAGACAGTAAGAAAATATCCGAATAACATTTTCTCGTGCTTTCTTGGGGAAACCCTTTGGTGTCTTATGTTTATCATATGGCTGTTGCTTGTGTTCCTTTCATTTTTCTTTCTCACATATCTTTTTAAAAATATCTGTTAGGTTCTGTGATAGCCGCACTAGATAATTAAAACATAATTTTGTACCAGAAGAGTGGGGCTCTGTACTAACAGATATGTGGAAACTGTTTTGGAATGGGGTCATGAGTAAAGGCTAGAAGATTTAAGGTGTGTAATAGTAAAAGCAGGAGCCTGGTAGTTTCACATTGAGCAGTAATCTTCAAGGTTGGCAGTTTGAAACCACCAGGAAGCTCTGCGGGAGGAAGACAGGACTTTCTGATCTTGCGAACAGTTACAGTCCTATAGAGTCACTATGAATCGGTGTTGACTTGATGGGAGTGAGTTTGGTTTTTTGTTTCTTCAACTTTTTATTCGTGAACATTTGCTTCAGTCCCTAAATCTGTTTCTATATATATATGTAATTTTCTTTGGGGCTCCGAGTTTGGTTTTTTTATTTATTTTTATTTTTTAAATCATTCTATTAGGGGCTCATACAACTCTTATCACAATCCATACACACATCAATTGTGTAAAGTGCATTTGTACATTCATTGCCGTTATCATTCTCAAAACATTTCCTCTCCCGGCATTAGGTCCTCGTTTTCCCCCTCCCTCCCCGCTCCCCCCTCCCTCGTGAGCCCATGATAATTTATAAATTGTTATTTTGTCATATCTTGCCCCGTCCGACGTCTCCCTTCACCCACTTTTCTGTTGTCCGTCCCCCAGGGAGGAGGTCACATATAGTTCCTTGTAATCGGTTCCCTCTTTCCTACCCACTCTCCCTCTACCCTCCCTGTATCGCCACTCACACCGCTGGTCCTGTAGGGCTCATCCGCCCTGGATTCCCTGTATTTCCAGTTCCTATCTGTACCAGTGTACATCCTCTGGTCTAGCCAGACTTGCAAGGTAGGATTCCTGTCATGATAGTGGGAGCGGGGAGGAAACATTTAGGAACTAGAGGAAAGTTGTATTTTTCATCATTGTTACATCGCACCCTGACTGACTCGTCTCCTCCCCGAGACTCCTCTGCAAGGGGATCTCCAGTGGCCTACGAATGGGCTTCGGGTCTCTGCTCTGCATTCCCCCCATCATTCACTATGGTAAGATTTTTTTGTTCTGATGATGCCTTATACCTGATCCCTTCTACACCTCCTGGTCAGTCAGGCTGGTGTGCTTCTTCCATATGGGCTTTGATGCTTCTCAGCTAGATGGCCGCTTGTATATCTTCAAGCCTTTAAGACCCCGGACTCTGTATCTTATGGTTGCCGGGCACCATCAGCTTTCTTCACCACCTTTACTTATGTTCACATTTTCCTTCAGCAATCGATTCGGGAAGGTGTGCATCCTGGAATGCCAATTTAAAAGAACAATGTGTTCTTGCAATCAGATTCTTTTTTAGATACTAAATTATTTCTTGGAAGAAATTCTATTCTATTTTAGCATAAATATACAAGGTGACTTCAAAAAGTTCCTGGAAAAATGGGATTACAAGATAATGGGATTTTTCCCCCCACGAATTCTTTAAAGCCTTGCTGTACTTTTAGTAATAACATACACTTTGTCATATATATTTTTTGTTTTTGTCATTCATAAATAGGGGGTCCTGGACGGTCTACCATGCCGACCCCAGGAAACACTGCAGCTTTTCGTGCGTCCCTTTGGACCAACATGGAGAAGCTTATGGATCATATCTATACTATCTGTACACAGGTAATGCGCCGAGGGAGTCAACTCGGTTAACACTATGGTTTTAATCTTGATCATTCCCACCGTCTGATTTTAGAATTATTTAGAGCCTTTTAGAAGAGATTCTTTAAAGCCTCTCATAATGTATATTAAGATTGGTGCAAAATATAATTTTCTTCTCCTTATTTTACTAGTAACAAAGGTTTTCATTTGTTTCTATGGGAAATGCCCCATTATATATGTCAACCCCCTTTCTTCTTCTTTTTTTTTTTTTAGGTACAACATCTACAAAAAGTATTAGCAAAGAAGAGAGATCCTGTTTCTCATATTTGTTTCATTGAAGAAGTAGTTAAGGTATGTTCTAAATGGCAGTACTTTGTTCTATTTTGTTGAGTCGTTCATGCCCCTTTCCTACAGAGTTGCTGTCTGCTAAATTACAATTGGGAAATGTATTCTCCACAACCATAAGTTATATATGTAGGAGTCCCTGCATGGTTCAAATGGCTAAGTGCTCAGCTACTTACTAAAAGGTTGGTGGTTCAAATCTACTCAGAAGTGCAGTAGAAAACAAGGCTTAGTGGTCTATTTCTGAAAGGTTACAGCTAGTAGATAACCCAGGGAGCACCATTCTACTCTGAAACTTGCAGAATGGCTATTCACTGGTAACAGTATATTGTGTAATAACACATATCAACGATTTACTCTAAGTATGTCAAGACTGTTGAAAAAAGAGTCTTGAGTTTCATTTAACCTGTGGCAATTTTGCGGTTAAAGACGTAGTAAAAATAAGTTTTATTAGTTCTGTGAGGTGTAGTAAAAATTTTAAAATAATTTATATACTTTTAATGGACAAAAATTAAATATTCAGGTTTACTTTAAATAATTTGTGTTAAAGTTGACATTTCTAAGTCTGTCTGAGTGTGTGCTAAGATAGTAGATTCTAGTTGATAGAATTATTCATATTACTATGCAGAGTCTTATTTGAAGAACCTTCCAGAGAAGAAAAAATTCACCATGATAATAGTTTTCTTAATGCTTTATTAGTTGAGAAGGCCTTTGTAGTTGATGTTCATCATGTTGCAAAGAATATACCAAGTACAAAAAGGACGTAAGTGGGTTGACTATAAAATACAGCTGGACCAGCAGTCTGGTCAAAAGTAACAAATCTTGGGAATATTTTAGTTTAAGTGTAGAGTCTTTTGAATGTACATGTGTGTTCAGATTTTTATGTATGCTATTATTGAATTGAAATAACTAATTCTGCTTCTGCTTAATTTAATAAATACCCAGGCTAACTTGTAAAATTAGCCAGTAATTTTCACTTCAAGCTATAATTTGAAAAGATACTGTCATGCCTATCATTTCACAATAAATATTTGTAGTACTTCTGTGTTGAATATTCTTTTGTCTTCTATATTGTATTTTTCAAATAATAAATAAACCATCTCATTTTTAAAAAGAACTTTAAGCTAATTATTAGACAATAAAAGTTCAATTTTGGTATCTTTTAACAACAGGTAGAAGTTCTAGTATTACTGTATAATGATCAATGCTATATATAACACTTTGCTTCAAAGTGAGTGTAGCAAATTATTGACTCTTCAGGATCCAAACAGTGGAAAACAGGTTGTAGATTCTCATCTGTGGAATTAAGCCAGCGTAGCTGTATGTGGGAGTTGAGATATGGTACTTTAATTTTCCAAGCCAGCAATTTTTATCATCGAACAGAATCTTATAATTGTGTGTAGGATGCATTAAGCTAAATTTGGAATGTGTTCAGCATTTTGAGCAGCTATAGTACTAATGAGACTTCTAACTATGAAAAAGAATGTGTTTTCTTTTACCCCTTCAGACATATCAAATGATTTGATAATAGCATTGAAGGTTACATAGAAAAATTTAGTGTGCTCAAGTATTTAACCTTTTTAATATTATGAGGAAAATGCCCAGCTCATTACCTGTGACATATTATTGGATGGTGAAAAACCAGTTGTATTTATAATTCAATCAATTATGTCAGTGAGTATTTGTCTTTATAAAGTTAGCGGCTTTCCACTTAGTATGGCACATACGTAGTACTATGTTGGTTCAGATGTTTTCAAGGGCCCTCCAACTACAGAAAAAATCGATTTTGGATCATTTTAAAAGTCTCATTCTTGTACTGTCAGGTCTACAAAAAACAAGACAATTTCTGAGGAGCATTCATCCAGATAAGATTGTTGAAAGTAGAGTCAAGATCGGGGAGCTATAAGTGACGTAATAACTGAAGTTGCCTGGACTCATAGCTGCCCGTATCGTGATGGACCAGCTGTCTAGACGTGGACTGTAATAAGATGGACAAGTGAGCCCCGAGCCTTGTACTGAAGTTGAGATCTGTGAAGGCAGGGAACATAGTTTTGGGCTGGTAACAGTATTTCACTCCCATGAGAGCTAGGTGCAGATTTCTCTAGAAGAAAGCATTTCTAGTTTTAGCCATTCGATTTCTCCCTAGTTTAAGGTCAAAGACGTGCTCACAGTAACAAAGCAAAGCGATTTTATAAGTAAACTAGAAGCTATGTGTAAGAACCAGTAGAAAAACAATAAAACAAAGCAAAGTAGATTTAAGACATAAAGAATTTCTCCCCCCCCCCCAAAAAAAAAAGAATCTCTCAAGAACTCTATTGGCTGCAAATATTAGACTTATTTGATGGAGACTCTAAAATACTTGTGTAAAAAATATTTTTAAAAGAAAAACAGTGGAATAAAAAGAAATGAGAAACAAGTGACTATTTTAAAAAGACTAGAGTTGATGACCTTATTCAGAGTGTAGTATAAAGACAAGGATATGGGGAATATGAAAGAAAAATTAAAAATTATGAGGTTATAATGAGACATTAATATAGGGCTAATTGGAAAAGGAAAGCTACTAAAAAAGAAAAACCATATGATCATCATCTGAACAGATTAAGGAAAAGCCTTTGACAGGCTCCAACATTCATTCCTCATGAAATAAGAAAACAAAATTGAAAGGATAACATTATACGAGTTCAAGATATATTACAAAGGTTCAATATTCCAGACTATGAAATTGGTATAAAGATAGATACATAGATAAATGGAGTATAATATAAATTCCAGAAATGTAGTCACATTTTGGAAGGCCTTCCAAAAGTTTATGGAAAAATTCCATTATCTTTGCATCCCATTCCACCACAAACTTTTTGGAGTTTCCTCTTGTATAGGCATCTGATTTTCAAAGAAGGTTGCAAAGACAGTCCAGTATTATCCATGATAGTTATTTTCCACAGATGGTATTAGAACAAGTAGATATCCAAACATGAAAAAACACACAACTGTTATCCTTATCTGGTACTATATGTTTAAAAACCATCAAAATGGGTTATAGATCTAAATGTAAAGCCGAAAACTGTGAAACTTCCAGAAGAAAATGCAGGAGAAACATCTTTGTGATCTTGTGTTCGACAAATATCTCATAGAGCACCAAAAGCTTGATCCACCAAAGGAAAAATTGGTGATCTCAATTTTCTCAATATTCCTAATTCCTGCTTTGTGAATGCTCCATTAATAAAATGCACAGGTGAAATGTAGAATGAGAGAGAATATTTGCAAATCACCTACTTCATAAAAGGCATAGAATTTATGAGAGTAAGTAAAAAAAATATTGGTACAAAATTTTTATAGGGCAGCCCTTGTTACCGTTGAATAAAGCTTTGGTGCATTGTCATGATTGGGAAAACTTTTTCCGCCAGTGCAGTTTTCAATTTTTTGAAAACTTCTTCATTATACCACTACCACCATGCCGTGATCATCTTGTATTCTTCTAGAAAATCCATGAAGATTTTTGTCCCTTTCAAGACCCTCCAAACAGTAGCCATATCTTCTGGGCTGACTTTGCTGCTTTGAATTGAACTAGCTCACCAGATATCCATGGAAGCCACTGTTTTTATTGGACATTTTTTGGCGGGGGAAGTCATCCTCAGGAGACCAAGGCAAGCGTACTATGAGAGAACTTGTTTCCTGGCATCAGCTGATCAGAGACATGTTTAAGCACGTTTTGTTTGAATATACCCATGCATGAATGCATTAGAACCTTAGTAGCAATACTTTTTTAATTACTTTGGAAAAACTTCCAGGACTCACTAAGAAAACAAAAGACTAATTTAAAAACAGGACAAAAGTATTGAACAGCTACTTCATAGATAAATATCAAGTAAGCATATGTCCAAAATATATGTATTTCTACCTTTAAAAACTAAAATCTACTTTTCATTCTCTATTACTAATTCCACTTTATAAGTCCCTATGTTTTAGTATTTTGTTGTTGTTGTTGTTATTTGGGGATTGAATACTCTGCACAGACTGCTTGGATTCTGCCCATTTACCTCTTCACAACCCATCTCACCCTCTTGAACTCTCTCTTCAAAGTTCTTTTCTCCTTTCCCTTAAGGGACTTTCTGACTTGTCTCACGCTGGTACTTAGCCATAGATGGAGTTTACTCTGTGCTTTAGGCTGCATTCCCAAGGTAGAACCCCTTGGAGAAGACTTGGCCCTGTGCACTAGGGGGACCCCATCAGCCTCACACCATCCATGCGCTGGGCCTGGAACAGAAGGGCGTAGGCCTTCCAAGTCCCCATGTTTGAACACAAGTATTGTTCTATTTACTTTGAGCAACCTTTCAACAGAAAATCTGGGGGGCTTTTTTGTTTTCTTACATAGCTAGCATTGCTATAACAGAATTACCACAAGTGATGGCTTTAACAAATTTATTTTCTCAAAGCTTAGGGCTAAAACATCCTAATTTAGAGAACCAGCTCTAAGGGATTGCTATCTGTCTGTCAACTCCAAGGGAAGGTCCTTATATTCCAAACATCTGTGATGTTAGAGCGTTTCATGTAGAAATTTCCACGTGTCTTGGCATCAATCTTTACTCAGCTCGTTTTTCTAGTCAGGGACTCCGAAGGATGACTTCTCCTCCCAGCTCTTCTTTCCTAGTGTTAGCCCGCTAGCTTGCTTAATCTCTTTTATATCATGAAAGAGGTGAGAATCAAGATAACAATCTCATCCTGTGGACTGTATCATGCCTCTAACCCTATCTGGTTAACATCCTAGGGGTTGTGCTCTCCAACATCTAGGAAAATGACATCAGATCACAAAATGGAGGATAGTTGCATTGTATGGAGAATCATGGCCTGCCCAACCAAGCTTTTGGGGGCCACACAATTCAATCTACGACCCTCATTTTTCTCTGTGGTGTTCATCTTGAAATCCCTATAGAAGTTCTTTTTCTGGTTTTTGGTAATCAGATAGTAAAGCTTTCCTCTGAAGGTTATTTTCAAGTAGAGGGAATTATTTT